ATTTGCAATCATAGCCAACAACCCTCTCCCCAAATGGTCCTTTCTAACCCCTGGAGTACTGTATTTCCTTCCCAGCTGTCTCTCTCCTTTCTGTTGCTGAGTTCCTTTTATCAAGCTTTCCCACACTGACCTTGCATCTGATCTCAACCCTGTACAGACCTATCCATGACATCCACACTGCTGAAGCCCCTGTCCACACCTCTTTTCAACTATTTTTGATTTGTCCTACTATCTGAACTAGAATGTAAGCACCTCAAAATGAAAATGTCTCTCTTTGTATTTAGAGGTCCACTTATGTTTATAGCTTTCTATGAATAATGCTGTGAAGGTGTGTTAGAGCAGCAGTTTTGTGAGTGAGAAGGTTTAAATGGCTTCACAGCAGTCCTTTGAAAATAGCTGAGCGCCTTGTGATTTCTTGGTTTATACAGTATGAAATGAACCTTTGTTGTTCATCACTTACTGGCTGTAGATCTTCAACAGTGGCTGCTTTTTTCATAAATAAAGAAATGGGATTTCTTCCTGCTCTCATTTGTGACTGCTTCTCTTTCTGATCTCTGATTCTAGATGGCACATTGGATGAGGCAACAAGAAAAGACCTTTTTACAGACACCTTCTGTAAAGTGTGTGGAGCTGTGCTGCAATTTGAGTCCCAAAGGATTTCACACTATGTGGTAGGTCACAGCGGATATACATATAAGAGGATACTGATGACATTGCTATATTCAGTGCTGATTATACAGATTATGGCCACCTATGTTTTGTATAGTGACATAACTCAGAGTTACCCTCGTTGATAAATGTTGGTTTTATTTGCATGCAGTGACTGTTACAGTTCTATATCTTGATTTAACAGCATTTATACAATGCTATGCAAGTAGCCTAATTCAATCTTATATGATATAGCAAACTGCAAATCCTATTGAAAGTGTTTCTCAGAACTAATAAATACGTTGAGCAAATGCCACATATGTCAAACAGTATACTTTGTTTTTAAACCTGGTCCTGTATATGTATAGAGATTTTTCAGGCACTAGCATTTCCCCCAGTTTCAGTCAAAACACTATGATCTCTTCACTCTCATCCTGGCCCAGTTAAATAGTTTTTAAAAGAACTGCCAAAGCAAGTGCCATTTTTTGGCTTTTAGTAGTAACAGAAAGCTTGGTCCTGCAAGGTTGAGCTTTTCCTTAACTCCTTCAGCTAGAGCTGACATCAGACATTTGGCATCCCACAAAAATCAGGCTTAAGTTTCTCTTTGCTGGATCTGACCTTAGATATAGCTGCAGATAGCTGTAATGGCTCCCCGACTCCACAGTCTTAGGGAGACATCAGTGGGGAAACTGACCTCTCGATTCTCCTGGTCCATGCGTTGGACGGACTAGGTTGCTCTTTTGAAGCCATTTGGACAGTGTCAGCTCAAAGGAGGCAAATTTCTTTTGAATTTGTAGGTGACTAATATGTCCTGGAGCTACGTGTACTACTGCAATGCAGGGACGTGGGCATAAAAGTGGTGAGGAGATATCACCCCAAATTTAAAATCTGTAGAAACAGCTGATCTCCACACTGTGAGGCAGGATGCACCAGACTGGGAGGCAGAGGAGCTGGGTTCTAGTCTTGGTTCTACAGTGGACTTGTTCTGCGACCTGAGGTGTGTATGTAGCCTGCCTTCATCTGTGAGAGGACAGAAAGGATATTTGTTTCCTTGATATCCTGGGGACTGGTGACTGTAACAACTGCTTTGAGATCCATGAATGAATTGTCGGATAGAAGTATCAAGTATTAGCATTATTTTTTAGTAAATATTATTACACACTCTGTTATGTGTTCATTTGTGGTTCACTCTCTGTGTGACTACAATCAGAAAGTGCAAAAGCAACTTCTGCTCAAGCCCATTCTAATTTCTGGATGAGGAAGCACATGGGTCCTCACTAATGAAGTAGGAATAATTCCAGTCTCATTCCAGGGCAAAAAGCATGCTCAGAAAGTTCGACTTTATTTCCAAGTACACGGTGAGCAAGATGAGGGGCAAAAGGCTGGAAAACAGAAGAAGACAGATTATATCAACTTTCAGGTGATGTCTGTTCAGAGCACTATCGAGAATGTTAAACTGCTCATTGTTCACCTGGTAACTGAACCTGCCTTTGGTTTCAGATGGATGGAAGTGGAGTAGTGGATAAAAACAAATACTGCAGTCTCTGCAACATGATTTTTACTTCCCCAGTTGTTGCTCAGTCTCATTACATGGGAAAAATCCATGCCAAAAAGCTAAGGCAATTATCAGGAGACCAAGCTCAGATGCTAGTGCAGAGCATCCAGCCAGAAACTGGTGAGAACCAAATAATCTTTATGTCCGCTTTGATACATGTGTATTCCTGATTCTTCCCTGAAACAGTTAAAATGAAGTATCCTCCCATCACTGCTTCTCAGTGCTTTTGCAGTCTGAAGTGTGGCAAACACCTTGCTGAAAATATTGTTTCAGCACAAGTTTGGAGCTAAAGATTCATAAGTCCCTGTTTTTACATTGATGGGCCCTTGGCAAGTGTCTCTGTATTTCCATTTCTCTACTTGTGAAATGGGAGTAAGATGTACTGTAGGGTTGTGTGAGGATTGATTGCAGGCCTTAGCAGCTATTATACTAATTAAGAAAATCTATCCAGGAACGTGTTACTGAGACTGGCCCTATGTCCTAAGAGTGAGTTCTAAAGCAACCCTCTTATTGTCACACCATCCATCCAATATACCTGGAGGAGACAGGAGAAGGGAATATGCTGCTGAAATAAGGTCATAACATTATGGAGAAAACTGCAGGATTATGTAGACTCTTTGGGTTTATCTATACCAACTTCACTTGCTGCTTCTCCATGTGTACCAAATCCCAATAATGAGCAGTGCATAGAGCAGCCATGAATTCATGCCCATAAGCATGCCAGAGACAGGAAGCTAATGTGCAGTTCAAGGGCACTCTAGGCAACTCTTGCCATATCTGGGGGAGCTGGCATGCACAGAGTGGTAGTGAGTAGGCAGGACATACTTTGTGGCAGTGCTCCTGAGTGCTGCATGGAGAGTGTGCACACATGGTTATTAACAGCCGGGCCAGAAGGCTGCTTTCCTCCAGCTAGAATAGCTCAATGCTTCTGTGTGCATTATTCCAAAGAATTGTGCCAGACTTTCCTTTCTTGTGTTATTAGCAAGTTCACCCACTGGTCCTTCCGCATCGCCAGCACCCCAGCAGCCCTCAGCAGAGAAGTCCTCACAAGACACAGAGACTGAAGAGTCTGCATCATCCTCCAGTATGACTTTAGATTTAAATGATCCAGACAAGTTTTGCAAGCTCTGTTCAGCTCCCTTCAATAACCCACTGGTGGCCCATCAGCACTATGTTGGTAAGAAGCACAAAAGGAATGAATTGAGGAAGAAAATGATGAAGGACCTGGGGGATGAAGCTGTTCCTGCAGAATCCAGTGCAAATGGTAAGTGAGTAGTGGAGAATTATTCCAGGGTCTTCAGTGAAGTGACTGGCACTTAAAAACCTCCAGTGACAGAGCTTCCACAGTGCCTCTAGGTCATCTGTCCCAATATTTAACCACCCTCATAGTTTTGAAGTTCTTCATATTACCCAAACCAAGTTTCTCTTGGTGCAGTGTGAGACCATTATTTCTTATCTTTTACCCTCTGGACACACACTACAGTTTATATCAGTAGTTCTCAACCTTTTCTGTACCAAGACCCATTTGTAAATGTAAGTGGCCAGTCCCAACCCAGTGCCCTTCGCTTCCAACCTGCTGCCCTCCACCCCCAGGTCCCAGCCCCCTGGTTTGTGGGGTAGGGCATGAGTGTGTGGGGAGAGGGGGTGTGGAAGTCTGCCAGCCTCCAAGGGAAAAGCCAGTTTCCCACGTTTTTCTCCTTTAAAGGAGAATCCCTTTTTAAAGTTTGATCCATTTTTAAAGTTTGTTCAAGACCTTTTCATATATTCATGCTATCCACTTTTGGGTCGCAACCCACGGATTGAGAAACGCTGGTCTAGATCCTCTTTATACCAGCCCTTTTTGTATTTGAAGGCTATTATACCTGTGGCTCTCAACCTTCTGACCCTGCAGGCCAGATGGATGGCCTGAGGTAGGTCTGGAGGCTGGATCCCATGTGGTGTTGGCCCACAGGCTCAATGTACTTCAGGCCAATCCAGCTGTTCTGACCCTGCCCCAGACTCAATTAACTGAGTCTGTTCCAACGTGCTAATTAGCACGTGTCGGAGCAAAGGTCTGTCATGTGTACCCATTGTACTCAGATTCAGGACCAGTTTATACTGTGGATATTTGCACATTACCTACACTGTGTATTTAATAAAGCTAATTAGTGCCCGCAGTAGTGGGCACTCTAGAAATATTTTAGAAGGGGAGATCATAATCAGTGTCAATTAACATAAATAACATTACTGTTTGAATAGTGCCTGTGTTGCTCTGTATGCTTCATGGTTTACCTTCACAGCACCCATCTCTGTTTAAAGGGAAAAAAAGTGTAGTTGTGGGTGATGAACTCTATATGAGGTCCGTTGCGTAGAGGAGTGAACGAGATGTCTCTTGTGTGGTGGTGATGCTTACACCCTCTTTAATACCCAACTCTCTGTTCTTTCAGCAGTCGGGGTTGGTAACTACATATGTCCTATATGTAACATCACCCTTACCTCTATAGAAATGTACCAGTCCCACATGCAAGGAAATAAACATCAGATTAAGTAAGTATTTTGTTAATGTACCTCTCTGTTTGCAGCACGTTACTGCATGTGGGAGTTTATGTTAGAGAATGACAATAGAAGGGAGAAGTGCAGACTTGTATGGTCCCTATCTCTTGGTTGTTATATCAAGTGACTATATCCTGCTGGTGAAAGAGATGCTCTCAATGTAAAAAACATACTTCTGACCAAAAATGTTCACCTCCTTTTGGGTGGTAACACTCCCTTGCAGAAGTCCTATACATGGACAGCCCATTCTATGCCAGTGTAACTTCACTGACCACCCCTGGGTCAAGCACATGTAAAACTGGATTAATGCATTTGTGAACCTCTCCCTGAGAATTGGTTTTCTTTGCCTAGTTAACTCATTTGACCCAGATGCATCATGTGGCACACCACATTCTTAAATCTCTCTGGTTTCGAATTTTACCCAGCATTCTACAGTAGCTCAAATCAAAACTGATCAGTTTTAATAACAGATTTTATATCCAATTTTTGCAGAGAAACCATGGTTGTCAATCTCATAAAGAATTCAAAGAAAACATATGACTCCTTTCAAGATGAATTAGCTGATTACATCAAAGTGCAGAAAGCAAGAGGCCTGGAACCAAAAACATATTTCAGAAAACCAGAGGAAGATGAGTTTAAGACCAGTGAATTTGAAGAAAATAATGACCATGACGACACTGTACCTTTGGATGTTAAGTTTGAACGAGATGAGTATTGCAGCCCTTTTTCAGAAACGTGGACGTCGTCATATGCTGTTGAAAACAGACTGCCGTGCTGGTCGCCAGCTTATGAGACTAGGCTAAGACTAGAAAACACACTTACATGTCACTACAGCAAGGATCGTTATTTGGAAATGACATCATCTCAGGTGACCGCCTACAGAGGTAACAGCTATGGCCCAGAATCAAAAGAATCAGGTGACTGCTATGACCACATCTCTTCTGATACAAGTACCAGCTCTCATAAGAAAGAACAAAAGGTTCAGAGGAAACAAGACGAGGAGGAACACCACTTTGGAAAAGAAGTGAAACATGAGAAAGAGCCCACAAAGCAGAAGAGGAAGGAAAACAATGAAGACCCTGATTCTGGAAAGGAAAGTGAGAAGCAAAAGCAAAGGAAGGTTGATACAGACTCAGCAATTGAAAAGAAGTCAAAGCACAGTAAAGATAAAAGACTTAAAGAAATAGCCACTGAAAAGGAGAGCAGAAAACACAAAAAGGATAAAAAGAAGCCCCAAATTGATGGCAAAACGGATGAGGAGATACTTTGGGATGAGTCTATCCTGGGATACTGAGAGATGTTTTGACTAACAATCAGAAGTCATCTCACTTTGTAGTCTCTTAACCATGGTGTACTATATTATGATTCATTTTTTTAAAGAAAAAAAACCAAACTTTTTGGTTCCACTCTTTGAAGCGAGCGAGAGCCTATCTTCTGAAACTATCAGGTAGTAGATAGGAATCTGTTTTTACTAATCTCACACACACAGCAGTTATGCAACAGTCTGTATGAACTTCAAATCTAGGTCAGCAGTTTACAGCATTCATTTTGGAGTTCCATCACCGTGTATTGTTTCTTCCAAATAATATTCGAATACTAGAAGTATTTTACTAGAAGTAAAGACACAGAGTATGGAGGGCTTCTTTCATTCTTCCAGCATACCAAAGCTTGTAAAATTAAAAATAAGTACACAATATTCCCAACCATTTCTGTATGTGTTTCACTAAAGGATTTTAAAGAAGAATGTAAGCCTATTTAGGCTTTGGGTTCCAATTCTTATTTACTATTGTTGTTTTTTCACCCAGCTCTGAGGGTGGAAAGTGAAAGGTTCTTTATTAAACATGCGGCTGATTGTCAGAATATGTTGTCCAGTATGCTTTTCTTATTGCTGTAATCCAGATTTTTAGTTTAGGAAATACTGAAATAATACCAGATGAAAAATTAATTTAAATTGTTAATTGAAACTATATACTATTTATTATTTCACCAATTCAAACTAATTTGCTTAAAAAACTCCACCCAGAAGTCTTGGATTGGAAGTTAATATCAAAAAATAATGTTTGAAAAATTTTAAACCAGCTTTGCATTTTTTTAAATATGGTTTTAACAGCTCTTCATTTATGATGTGGAATTAGACCTGGGCGGTATAACGCTAATGGAACATCGGGCATCCTGCAGGTAGGTGAGATGAGCTACGGTCTTGGTCTGCGCTGCTGTTGGGTCAAAGGTACGGTGGGACAAGGAGACTGGAAGTACCTTGAGCCCTCAGATTTGATTCTTCTGTATTGGGGTGAGGCATGTGCACAATGGAGGTAGAAGGGAGTTTGCACCACGTCTGCTTACAGTATATGGGGTTAAATGACGGATTTTGGTCTCCTGTAATCTTATTCTGGCACCTGATGCAGCATTAAATTGACTGCATTAAATTAAATGCCATTCTACTCTGAAAATAACCACGTGAAAATGCCAGCGTGGAACTTCATTTGCTCATAGTGATTTTAAAACACATTGTGTTCAGGTTCAAATAAAAAAGTTTTCTTACCCCTGCACTGGAAATCTGAAAATCATAGTGGTTCTCTCCACTATGCCCTTGTTAGACCCTGGGCCTCTAGTGAGCTTGCCCAGGCGTAACCAGTTATGCAACTGTGTTGATGATGCATAGGAAATAGTATTGGTTGTATCCATGTTCTTAGCTGAATTCCACATCAGTGTGTCCATTCATTGGAAAATGCTTGATCTAGAAATTGTATCATCGCTTCAGATCCATTTGCCTGACATTGGGTGTGATTTTAAGATTGCAGGTAACAGGTCAAATATTCTCCACCAGCATCTGGATATGTTTCTGTAGTTTATATAAAAAGAGATTTATAACATGCTATACTGCATTTTATATTAATAATAAGTATAATTCATAGTTTTCTAGTGACCTGTTTACCTGTATTTCCATATTTGTGTTGATATGTATTTTTATGAGAGACCTATTTTCAATAATAGCCAGGCCTTTAAAAGGAAAATTACCATGTATTGTAAACATGTCTTTCCAAGATGCACTGTTTTCCCATCTTACTTGCAAAAGTTTCTAGATCAGTGGTTTTCAACACTTTTAGACTCCAGGCACCCCTCCTTAGCCTTTGTGAACTGTGTGGCACCCCACTTCAAAAACTGATTTAATTATCACAGTGCTTACCTCCGTTCAGGGCGGCTAGGTGGTGACATACCTCCTCACACCACCCTTCAAAGGGTCTCGCAGCACCCCGAGGTGCTGTGATGCCCCGGCTGAGAATCTGATCAAAACCGTGTTTATAACTAAAGCTAAATCTGCTCGTCTAAGGTTATCAACCTAATTAAAACCAACGATGCAGGAGAACTGAAGCAGTAAATTACCAATCCTGCCCTCAGTTTTGCACAGGTAGGCCCTGGCATTGGTATTGAGGCCCTTTGAAATCAGCTGGTGCTTTCTGCAGGTGCAGCAATCCACCTAAAGATCCAGTTGCAAGATAAGTGACTTAATCTAAAACTCATGCTTTAGCAAATCCATATACAACAGGGATCTTTAAAGAGACAGGCCATATATAGCAACATAATGAATGGAAGCTATAGTCAGAGTGTACGTGTTAACGCAGAATGTCATGGCTAAATTAAAGACTACATCATCATAAGCATGGGGTTAGTGTGAAAAAGGATAGTCTAATGTTTACAACAAGGCAATAAGAATTGAGGAGGTATGGTTTCATTCTCAACTCCACCAATTGCTTGCCATGCAATCTTGATCAATCACTTACATCTTGTGCTCCATTTTCACAGTCTGTTAGGTGAATATTCTACTATGTACTTCTAAGAGAGGACTGCAGGGTATTTAGAAAAGGACATTGTGATCCACAGCTAGAACATACTATGAGAGCGGAAAGCACGGATCTTTTTTTGTGATTTGGCTGTTTCCTGTGCCACCTGCCTTTTCTTCGTGGTACAAGTTGCCTGAAACTGCTGGTTGTGATACCCTAGAATTGATGCATTTGAGAGAGGCTCTGACTCAATAGGACATGATCAAAATCAGGATAGAAATCATCTTCAGTGCAGAACAGGATATGTAGCAAAAAAGACCCTTTGGAGTCTCCACAGTGTGCAACCTAAAGATAAAAGCATGAATCGGGGTTTACTTGATATGCCCCTACCTCAACAAGGTACCTTGAGTCTTGGCATGTGCTTAAACAAACATGCTTAAGCATATGCCTGAATCGGGCCTATCCCTTTAAAATCTCTTCTGAAAGTATGTCCTGGCAGCAGCACTGAAAGATAGAGAGAAATTCAATTTAAGACATTGCATATAGTCTGATTCTAATGTCCTTCGACCAGCTTCTGAGCTTACATTTTTCCGCATAATTCAACTTTAGTATATAAGAAGTATGGTAATTCTTTCATGGGTTACTGTAACTCCACAGGGGCATTAGAAGGGTTGTAAAATATATAAAATGGGCACATTTTCAGATTTATTTTAAAAAATCAGAGCATCACATTAATCATTTCAAAATTATTCATTCCTAAAATTACTCTAAATAGCACACGTGTTATTGCTCATGTTATTGTGATAAAATGCTGAGGTTTGGGGGGTTTTTTACATGACCTTAAATTGTAGCAAAGTCACTGAACAATCATTGAGAGCTAACCTGAGGTTTTATCTCGTACTTTATTGTGTGCTCCATTACTTTCAGTGATACCTGATCGAAATGGGGAGCATTCAATTCTACACCTTCAGAAGAGTCGAATGGAGCCCACAAATGTTTTTTCCTTGCATAAAAAGGTGGTGACAGTTGGCTTTTAAAACACTTATCCATCAGATTACTGACATCAAAGTAGGAGAATGGGAGTCAAGGCTCTTGTTTCTCTTTCTGGCCTTTCCATCGATTTCCTGTGATTGTGATCGACAAAATGTCTTGATGTGTTTGTTTTGCATCTGTAGAATCAGGATAACAACTTTCCCATCTCACAGGAGCCAACATTTATGAGGAGTGTAGATGCTTGGGTCCTGGATTCTTAAAAAGTGGTCATAAATAAAGCTATATAAATATGTACAGTAGTGGCTAATAAAATGAAATGCTACAAGAAATTCCTTCTTGAAATACTCAATCTATACTTAAAACAAAAATGCACTCATTTTGGCAGTCGCTACTATGAGATCAACATTTTGGCTGTTAAATCATCAGTGAACGTGGAGTTTTCAGAGAGCTACAGGAAAACCACACACCCACCTTTACCACAGCCCCATGCACCTGGTGAGCTCTCTTGAATAATAGTTTCAAAGTAAAGCTGGAGCAGAGATTTAGGGCTTTAGTTTTTTAATGTGATTTTGGCTGCCTCAGCATTCAGGTGGCCAATTTAGTGACATTTTAGGGCCTTGATTTTTTTTTTCAGTAAAAATACATAGCATCTCCCACTGTTAACATCTGGATTCATTATAGTTTCAGGCTGCACACCCAAAATCACTAATGGCTTCTGGTAAACCTGAAGCTTTCCTCTACCAGCCCTTTCAGCCCTGGAGGGGTCTCTAGCTGTATCCCAAGTCCAACAGAAATTATTCATCTCCAGTGTAACATTGCCACAGCACTGGCTTTGGCAGGAAGAGAGCCTCGTTGCAGCAGGCTCCTGACCATGCCTAGATCAGGAAGTGTTGTAATTCAGGACTGGGGTGTATTGTCAGGAACATGGGATGAAACTTGAATGATGGCTTTCTACATATGTGTATTGCCTTCCTACATGGCCTTGAACCTCTCTCTGATTCATCCAACATGCTTAGCAGTCAATGGACCTTACTCTGTTTCTTGCCACCTTCCATGGACCTGACAGATGTTTCCATCTCCATTCGGCCAAACAAGTGACCAGCTGCTTCACGCGACATGCAGAGTGACCACAGTTCTGAATTGGAGAGGTTTTCAGAACAAGAGCAGCACGTCTCCAGTGACGGGCCAGACCAGACCTGAGCCACTTCACATTAGTGCTTTCCACCCAGTGCGGGCATGGATTTTTTGTGTTACAGGTTTAGTATCATTCGGAATTATTTGTAACAAGATGTGTAAGTGTAAAAGCTTCCAGTTTATGATCCACTTTGATGTGGAAACTGTTGGGATGACTATATTTGGATCTTGGGGAGCACTGGATTTACAGCTGAATAAAGGCTTTACCTGTGGCCTAGCAAAAGCTGCTAACCACAAGGCAGAATGATATCTAAGCCAGCCATTTGCTTATGCTAAGTAACCATCTTAACTGTGTTAACCATTTTTCTGAAAAAAAAGCGGCAAGTGAGTCTGTGCGAGTCTGTGTGCTGTGAATGAGGTGAAGCTTTAGGAATGTGGAAGACGGTACAACTTAGGACTGAAAAACAGACTGGAATGTGAAAAAACAACACAAGCAGAATCTGAAATGAACATATGCAAAAAGGTGAATGGTGATTGGTGAAGAAGCTTCCAGGTTTTGGTCGAAGTTCGCCCATTGACCAAAGAAGTAAAGTCAAGGTCTTAGACATGCGCTCTTAGCAGAAAGACATGTAAATGAGTGAAATGCATAGGCAATTCCATGCTAATGAAGTAAACAATAAACAGAGGCGTAGCTTGAGATGGGAGGAGAGCTGGGCAGAACATAGGAGGAGCGAGGGTGCAATGAATGTTCATGAGGATGAATCAAGGCATATAAAATGTGAAAAGAACTATTGTTCACTGTGGCTCCCCGGTTTGTTGGTTTTTTGGGAGCTAGTCCGAAGCTGTCTCCATTCTGAATAAAGCTGTTGCGAGCAACGTGTGCTGGTGTTTGCTCCCTGCTCTGCTCTGGCTAATGACTAACAGGATGCATGGTCAATTGGATCATCATCTCCCTAGTCGTTGGGCACCGCACGGAGTTGGGGTCTAACAGAAACATTCCCTCAAAAACTCAAGGTCTGGTTCTTGTTTACATGAAAACATCCCTACAGCATTGGCAGGGCAGGGCAGCAGAATAACTGGACAAGGCATAAGTTACATCCACATCCCCTTTAAGGCATCTGAATTCTAACGGAGTGATGTAAAGGTGCCTCTTCATGCATGAGAATTAGGCTTTCACCTCAAATCCTTGGGAGAATATCACCCTCGGTATGTAACTGGTTGCCCCGTTTTGCATGTATGTGTTTTCTTTCTAGTTTACCAAATGAGGAAAAGAGCCTTTGTCCCAAGGGAAGAGGACAGCTACAGCAGACCACATCCTGCAACCTCGATACCAATGCCAGGACTCATCTAGGGCTGCCTTTTCTACTGACTGCTTTGCTGTTCATGTGGCGAAGGGGTCACATAGGCTTGCATGCACAAAGCTGTGTAGATTGGGTACATCTTAGCTGTAAGCAACAGGTACTTGCAAGGCCCTGCTGTGTATATCACTTGTTGCAAAAAGAGTTGTGATGGTGTAACCCTCCCTGTCCCTCGCATGTTGGCCCCCCTTCTCCGTGCGGGTGATGAAATAAAGTTAATGTAGTAAGTGAGGAATCAGAGACTTGCAGTATACCTGTGACCTGACATCTGATTGCCATCTGTTTCATCCACGTAAGTTTTTGTATTATGTTCCCAGTTGACAACAATATCTGTTACAATTTAGAAACACAGCAACTGGACTGAGATCACTCATTGGGATTTTATGGAAGGAAATAAAATACAGCGGAATGGAAAACTTTGTTGTAAAAAATGATAATATGTTCTGATGGGATTTGGTATATCTTTCAGCCATAGCACCATTGTAACAGACAAGGTTTTTTTCTAAACTTGTACATGCAGAGAGTAAATACTACACAGATCTGTACTCATATTGAGGGGCCTCGGGGCTCAAAAGTATGGGGCTCAAGTATTTTAATTCGATCACAACTGTAAGATTTATATATTTTGATTATGTGCCTATATTGCATCTCTTGGATAACTGAGACTTCACAGGTGAGCTGGAAATGTAAGCCTAGACAAAAATGTTCCTGCTCTGTGTAAATCTAAACTAAGTGTATTTAGGCATCCAGACAGGAGGCCTGGGTTTCAGAAGTGCGGATCCCCTCCAGGTCCAGTTGACTTGGATTGTCTTGCACCTCAGAAAATCAGAGGCCACCAACGGAGATGCCTAAACATAGATTTCAGGTGTATTGGTTGTAGCCGTCTTGGTCTAAGGACATAGGCAGACAGGTTTCTTTGGGTAACTCTGATATTTTTTATAGACCCAAGTTGAAAACATTTGACCGTAATAAGTCTAAGAGTAGTTGAAAAAGCTGCAACTTTTCAATTGGTTTACTTTTCAATATGCCCTTTGTTTATTTGCTCAGTAGGTCCATGGATGATCTGCTCCCCGCACATGGTGTGCTTTGCTAGCTGGTTGATGCTGTTTTATCCACCCCAGAATAACGCTCAAGCCCATGAAAGCAAGGTACGTCTTCTCAGTGCTCTCTCCCCCACACCCACCCCCTCCCCAGTGCTGCCTAGTGGTTGTAGCTCACATAATGTTTTCTTACGTACACAGAAAAATGTATTTGTCTTAGGAACTAATTGCAGAACGTGGAGTGCTCATCTCATTGTTCGGAGGTGCGCTTTAAAGCTTGCCTGATGCTATATAATGAGGCTGCTTTATGGCTATTCTAATCTAAAGGGTGTATCAAAGCACGTGCACATTCTTTAGCTGACAGGAACGTAGAGACGTATTGTTCAGCAGTGCTGGTGCTTGTCTCCTTAGAGAGCAAGTGGCGCAACTTAGTGTGTGTTTCACTGTGGTGTGTGTTTCAAAATGTTCAACGTTGACATCCAGGCACTCAGTACAGCCCCAAATAACAAGTAATAGTTACATGTGGATGCACTTCTTGAGAGACCATATATGTGTATCCTCTGATTGTGTTTGGTAGGAGAGCGCTCTCTCTGGAGGACTCCTTGAAAAAAGCAAAAGAATTTTATAAATAAATAGATTATGGATTATATAGGATGGTTTGGATAGGGATGGTTCTACCTCAGGCAGATAGGTGACCTCTGGAGGTCCCTTGCAGCCCTACTTCTCTATGAGTTCTATGATTAAACATTACAGATCAAAGGCAAGGAAATCCAGGGCTTAAGGCTTCTTTCTTCCCAAGCCAGTACCAATCACACCTACCACCACACCAGGGTGGAGGAGCAGTGCTAGAGAGGTCTTCAAATTTGCTTTGGGCACAGGATAACTGATGTATTTACTGAAGCAAACAATTCCAGCCTTGATTTATTCTCTCTGGTGTTGAGGAAACGTACTAGCCCCTGTCCAGCAGACTGATCCATACAGGCAGGCTGCCTTCCAAGAGACACTGAGGGCTTGTAAAGGCCACCTGCACAAATCAGACTGGAGAATGGGAGTCAGTGCGTGTGAATCCCACTTGAGCTGAAACCTGCCCTATCACCTATGCTCAATAGAGCAAATCAAGGAGGAAACATCACTTCCACCAAATTTCCATGTCCTGTTAGCTTAGGTTAAAGCCTTTTATTATTTCAAAACATGCTGTAAAGGCCAGGAGCAACATTAAAGTACTATTACTTCTCTGTGCTAGTAGCTCCTTAATTGGGTTCTTAGGTTAAAACTGAATCCACCTTTCTGCTTATTTCAGACAGGAATAGCACCTTCATCAGTCTTAGTTTCTTCTGGCAGTCATGGTTCCCATGCATCAGCAAAATTACTGATGGGTGTTTAGGGCTGTCAGGGAAAACTCTGATGTTTTCACTCAGCTTCTTAGCTGACAATATTTTCACCCACATCAGGTTTTGCAAAACTCCAACTTGTCAGTCTCAACTACTTCTTAGTGCATCTACACAATTAATGTGATGCAATAAACTCCAGAGAAGTTTGAACCAGAGTAAACTGCTCCTAGCCACAGCATCTACACGTGTGCCTGGGACAGCAGCAGTTTGAGCCAGGGTGGAACAAGCCCACATCCAGTGCAATTTATGCCCGTGGTCAGCATAAATAGAACTCATAGAGAAGTAGGGCTGCAAGGGACCTCCAGAGGTCACCTTTCTGCTCAGTAAATTACTCCACCATAAGATAGTACTGTCACCAACAATACTATCTTATGGTGGAGTTAATTAGTTTACAGCACCCTAATACCAGCACATAGGTAGACAATGATGCTTTACTGCAGAGCTAATTAAACTACTCCACAGTAAAGTGCACATGTAGATATAATTACTGGCTCACTGCTTGTGGACATGATGGAAGAAATGAGTCAGTAGGTCTCTACACATTTGTTATTATGAGCTTTTAATTATTTTTATTTTTCAGGGTTAAAGGTAGGAATCTATAAGAGGTCACTGCGTCTCAAAGCATCTTAAAACATCATTCCAGTCATTCAAGTTCCTGTAAAAATAGATGCAGTGTATCCAAAGGCTCTACAGAGATGCTTGTCATTATCTCGGAGCACCTACACACATGCAGGACATCTGCTCTGACACGCGCTGAACGTGCGTGATGCTGTGGGCGTTTTAATTAGAGCAGCTCTTGGAGCCACTCTAATTAAAGTGCCCCGTCCCCGCCTCCCCAGAATGTATATAGGTGCCCTTAGGCTGGATGATCTATGCCCTTTACCTTCGTCCTATGACTGCCAGTTGGAGTAGACCATAAATCATCTTTTACATCAAGTTCAAGAGCTTTCAGACGCTACAGAACATAGAAAGAAACCTCTCTGCTGTATTGCAGATGTGCACTGCAGAGGAACAAGAAAAGCCAGAACCTGTCACCACATCTCAGCTGAGGCACCAGGTTTTTGGATAATTCCTTTCAGAAAATATATCTAAATGATCTTGTTAATTCACTAGGCCGCAGTTCACATTCCAGTTCTCCCTCGTGACTTATTTCTTCCATCATGCCCACAAGCAGTGAGCTAGTAATTATATCTACATCATATAATAACTATTGCTGAACTATGAGATATGTGCACCTAAACGAGAGCCTTATTCTAATCTTCCCAGGTCAGGTCTAAAATTAGACAGGAATTACTTTGGGGTGGGGACCCTGTGATGTGTCTGCCATGGTTTTAGGCCATGTAAACCAGTTTGCGAGTTAGTTCAGGGCTGGGAAGGCCAAGACCACGGAGGCAATAGAGAAAGGGTAGGAAGATCCTCGCTCTAGCAATGAGTTCAGTGGAGTAAAATTTGGAGGAGGAGATTAAGGGTATGTCTGCACCATTAGAGGAGGGACAAAAAATTATGTGGGTATTCACCTCCCCCCCCCAGCAGGTAAGTCTGTGGGGGAGGGAGCGAGGGGAGAGGGAAGGAGTCTGGAGGGGCAGATCGAGGCCCCCGCAGGAGAGGGGCCGGGGCAAGGGTGAATGGGGCCCCAGCCAGGCTGGGTGGTGGGACAATGGGGACCTGGCTGGGCCAGGTCATGGGACAGTCAAAGCCCAGGCAGCTCATCCAGGGCTGCAGAGGGGCTCCTGCTGCTGTGCACACCCCAGTGGAAGCCCAGAGGGCACATGCCCCCCCAGTCTGTGCATGGGGCAGAGGCGGTTTCCCCTGCACGCTGGGCTCTGTGCCCTGCTGCCACTACCACTGCCTGGAGAGCGGCACAATGCCATGTGCGTCCCGCCACTGGGCTCAGTTGTCCCACCACCCAGCACTTACCTCCTTGTACAGGGGCAGCAGGGGCTGCTGATGCTTCAGTGCAAGCTCCCCAAACACAGGCTACTGCTGAGGCCCTGGCCTACTGCTGAGACTCCCTAGGAGCTACCACACTGGTGCACCATTCGAGAAAGTTATATCATCCCTCTGCCTAAGTTTTCTCAAGCATACGTTGGAGGTGATGATTCCTATCACTCCAGAGCTTTAAGATCCCAGAAATAAATCAGATGCAACTATATTATATGTCACCGCTTTAAAATGGAGCAGAACAAAGTCTTGCTTGAGATTGGGGATGTTACTTATTGACATAATTTTGCATTGTTAATGATTGTGTGTTGTTTTTTTTTAATCTTATTTCAGTCTATCTTAATTACTCAAACATTTGAGCAGTCTAGAAGTGTTTGCAGATTTTGGGGCCTTTTGTTCCCTGACCTGACTTTCCCTGTAAATAAAAACCTTTCAGTTTTTCTGGAGGGTATAAAGTTTTTCTTATTTTTATCAAACTAATTGCAACAGTGTAGTTCTTTCAATATTCTTGATGCTTGTCTCATGCTATAAACCTACTAGGTGTCATGGATTTGAATAAATGTTGCAGTTCTTCATTTATGAATAAGTGCTTGCTTTGCTCTTCGATTGCACTGGCATGCTGCATATATTTTTCACAGCACCTGTTTTACTGCTAACAGACCTATTTTGTAAGGCAGCCTTATCGTAGCCTTAATTCCAAGTCATAGGCATCAGTGACCAGCAGGAAGGCCCACCTGCCTTTTTTTCTTTTGCTAACTGTTTTAAGGGACTTGAGCAGGGTGGAATAGGACCACTTCAGACACCAGTAGGTGAGATAGGATCTGGCTCCAACTATTTTGGTGCACAGCTGCTTAGTAATATCAGAGCCCATATTTAGAGCTCTTCTCCACTTTACCCATGCATGAAGCTCCACTCAAATAGTTATGCAGATGGAGTGAGTGTTGAATAGACTCCCCAAACAAAATGACATGTTTTCTGGCTATTGAAAATGACAACCTTTTTACCCTGGCTGTAAACTTGCAGCATGTTAGCAGTGCCAGCATTTGTTCCATGCGCAAGCTAGCACCAGATGTGCATCATCTGCCCTGTTCAAAGCAGCCTGATCCTGGAGTGCAAGCTATAGGGTTCATACAGAAAAGGGTTAGTACGGGAGTGTTGGCGATGAACTCACTTCCTCAGTTCTTCTGACCTGCTGCACTAATTAGTTACTGTGATCAGGGCTAAGATGGGATATTGCTGGCTTTGTGGTATCCACCTATTAATAGCACGGTGAAGGAACTGGCCCTGAATATTTTCTGTGGATGCTTTGTTATTAAAACAAGATAAAGGTGGTGCAATATGGACTGCTTTAAGGTAGCAGTGCCCAACCTTTCAGCATGGCATACCAGATGAGTGGGCCTGATACAGCATGTGAAGCATACTCAACACACGACCCCTGTCCTGCATACTGGATTAGGCCTCAAACCAGTGTGCAAGCCTATATCATCAGGTCCCACAGGTCCTGGAAATTTGGTAGTAGAAGAGCAGCAGCAGTGTTAATTGCTATTGCTCGCAGCTGCCAAATTTCTGAACCCATGGAGAGCCCTGTGGGCTGGATGGCGTGGCTCTGTGGGCTGGGTTTGAGCACCACTGGTGTAGGGGGATTGATAATGGGCCCTTTCTCATGCAGCCTGCTCACTGGTCCACTATGGAGCAGTCAGGACAAAAAGCTTTTACCTTCTACTGGGGCTTCTGTGGCCTACAGCAGCAAATAAGTGTCTGGTCTCACTCCAGTTC